AATTTTTATATTTGTAGACATTGAATGTTGAATGTTATTTATTAAATATTTATTTAATATTATTCAAATGTGTGACTACACTTACACGTGTAAATGTATAAAATATTTTTGTCCCCCAATAATCGTAATTGCCCTGTTATACAGGCATATAGTAAGATAGTAGTATGGTCAGTCGACACAAATTTTTAATTATGTACGATTTTGCAACAAATAATATAACATATATACTATCTAAATGTCCAGAATATAATATGGTTTTGTATTTACATTTTTATGTCAGTCGTATGGCATAATAGATGTAAGTAAATTGAATTCAATTGCATAAAATCAGTTAACAGATTCCTGGGTTCAATTCGTTTTCATATACTGGACCAATTATTTTTATACTATATCTTTTTCGTTTCAATCGAATATTAAAAAAGATAACCTAAGTATTTGATTTGTATTACAAAAAAATAAAAAATTCACAACTTAGAGTAAAATGTAACCACCCAATGATATCCCGAATCTTTTTATACGTGAAAAATGGAAATTTTAATAGTTTTCACGAAGTCACGAATAAGAGTCGTACCTGCACGTTGTACAATCTGATAAATACTTTGATTTCCTTTCTCTTAGCAGTCTTAACGAATCCGTAAAGTTCAAGAATTCATGTAAGTCAATATGTATTCGTGTATAATGTTACATTACTTGCTAAGTCAATGCATAAGGCGGTAGGTATCTAAATGTTTAATACATCTTAAACTGAATGTAGATCGGTACCAAGTTTAATATTGATGCTATCTGCCGTATTATCTATTCATATATAAAACATTTCCTATTGTATTCATATTCACAATGACGGGTTCATACCTATCAAAGCATAACCTCATTATGCTCTGATGAGTTTTAATAACAAATTACTCATTTTTTGATTGAGAAATCATTTTTGCTATATAATTTAATCAAAGTGTGTAATGCGTGTATCGTAAATGCGGCAGAGCAAAATCGTTAAGCTACAAAGTATATTCGTAAGTTGCCCAACACGTCATTGCTCGTATTATTTTGTAGGTTTAAAAACCATTGGAATATTATTATGATATCATAAATGTTCGTGTTTCGTATGTATGATTAAATGCAATTTTTAGTACACTGAAATCGAATTCATGTCTTGACATGTTATGTATAAATTCAGACACTTAGTAAAAATAAACAGTAAACTATATACAAACAATAATAATATGTATTACCTATATAGTACGTTGCTGTTATTTCATTACAAAATTTTCCATTGTATTATTATGTAGGATTCCCTTAACCATACACGTTTTTAACGAAAAACTGATGATTTTTTTTATTTACCTTTGAATTCTGATAAGATAATTTGTTTTTCAACTAATTTTTTTTTCACTTTCCAGATATTATTTATTTTTTGAAATACCCCCTCCACTCAGATGATATCTGTTCATGTGATATCAAAGTAAACATTCCTTCAAAATTTTTTTTACGTTCCCGGCCAATTAGGTAGTAATAATAATAGTAATAAAAAAAAACAGTTCTGCGATCACTCGACGCGTGTTGGTTGAAAATACAATGATTCTACAAAGTCAACCGACCCGGAACGTGATATATTTTCTTCTTTTTGATGGCGGCTGCGGCGCGCACGCGTGTGTATATTATATATTATGCTCTCCACTACGTTCGCAATGATGAATACAATTCTTACCAATTATCATTTTACCCGTCTCGCTATTGTTTGACGGATGGACCGAGAGACGGGTAAATGTGACATCACTGAAACGTGCATGTGTACGTCGTTTTCTGTTGAAAAGTGTTGTTTATACTGTGTTTTTTTTTTAATTTGTCTTTTTATTTAATTTTAACACTATTCGTCATCATATACCTACTTGGGTAGGAGAGACCGGTTTCATGTGATATACAAGAGAAATATGACATTATGACACACCGGTGTTTTGATCGAAAATGTATTAATGACCGAAGATATTCCTTGTAAAGTTCTACCGTCAGTTTTGAAGTCCTACATATCATTAAACATATAGCTTATATTATTATGTATCTATTATCAAAGAAATTATAAACAAATTATTTTTGATGTATCGATTTTTTATAACTTTATTCAACTACATTTCTTATATAATAATTAATTTATTTATTTCTTACGAGTTTAAGTTTGAGAACAAATGTAAACTATGATCTAACTCTAAAATAAACCTGCCAACTGGTAGTAGTTGAATCAAAATATTTAAAACGACTTTTATAATAAATATTTGGTAATAGGTATACCACAGTGGTATTGAATACCTACAGGTAGGATTAATGGAAATCATGTTATTAATTATTTGTTGGTTATTAGTGATTTAAATTTATCACGTATTATGAGATTCTACCACCTTGCATACGTGCTTTATTAGTTTTTCATTTACTAATTTCCTAATTGTATGCTAGCTTTAACGCGTTTACTCGAGGTGAAACAATAATTAAGTTCAGCTTTATTTTATTTAATGCACATTTTATTTGTTGAAAAGACATCTTATGCTTTAATAGCGATTAAAGTGTCATTTTGTTACTTTTTAAACATAGAATCTGGTTAACGTTTGTTAAAATATTTTTAAAAAATAGATGGTTTTCGTTTTTCGTTGACAAACTAATAATAATATGTGTCCCTTAATTGTACATTCTTATAACGTGTTTAATTATCGGCTGCGAGTAAGTAAACTATTATTTTCTCATTTATTAATCGATCAACCGTGAATTCCAAAATATCGTTTTCGCTCAACGCCCTGCAATTATCTTTTCCATACTTATATATATATATATATTATTTTTGTAATACATTTACTTCAAACATATACACGATTCCCTAACAAAAGACATGCACCCGTGTATTTGGTGTTTAATATATTATATAGCTGGAAATCCATCCATGAAAACGGGAACTCACAATGAGGTAATCATAAAACATGATGGACACATTCGATTTACTTCGACAGTCAATAGTACCTATAATATTATGGTGTATTTATATATACAATAATATGCTATCCGCAGTGTTCACTGTACAAATCGAATCGGAAGTCGCGTTTGTCTGTACGGACAGTGTATTGTGGATTAAAGCGGTTTCACTATTTCGAGAATTAATGTTCTATTACATTATAATAATGGTCTTATCATCCCTTTTCCGGTATTGTATTTTCCGATTGACATGTCGCGGTGAACAGATATATTGTACGTAAACGCTGAACAGTACTTACTGAAGTACTGCAGAATTGCTGAAATCAATAATAGGTAATATATGATATAAACGTTAAGAATAAAGTGTGTCCACAGTACAATAACTATTATTGCAGTAACACGCTGATAGTTTATAGTTATTGTGTTATAAAATAGGTAATAGGTATTAATCGTTAAAAATGTTACACACTTAACCTGTACGACACTAATAAAGTACAATACTTAGTACACCACTTATGTACATTTTAAAATAGGTACTTATTATGCTTAATTGTTGTTCTATTTGAACATAAACATATCACTTTATAGACTTATTCACTTTCATAAAATCGTGGTTAAAATACTCTTACATATATTATACATCATCTGATACCTAATGACGTTCGAAATTATATTTCTTATTTCTTATATAAAAGTTAATCTTGGGTATTTTTTTTATGCTCAATGGGCACGATGAAGTCCCATTAATTATTAATATGTATTGGTTTATAAACAGTTTCAAAATTAATATAGACAAATTACAATTATTCTTCAAAATTGGATACAACTAAATACTTCTCAATATATTTACCTATAATATTTTTATAGAACCTTACTTAAAGCCAGTGGCGGCGCGAACTTTTTGAGTCTTTGAAGAAAATTGTACATTTTTAATATTTTTACCACCAACCATCCCCTTTATTACATCAAAACGATAATTTACTATGTTGAAGCTATGAAACTATGAAGCAATTGCTTCAGATAGTATTATATCCCGCCGCCATTGCTTAAAGCTATGTGCCCACGTGTTAAACCTATACAATATACGATATTTTATACAATAATAAACTCACTCGTGGTAGTTAATTTGATAAACCGATGCGCAGGGCACATCATATAATTCAAAATATTTCCTAAAACTCAACTTGGACAAACGGGCAAATAAGAATATTACAAACGTGTACTGTATTACTACCATGTTCATTAGTGAGGAATTAATCAAGAGTGGGTCCTTATAATACTCTGCCGTGTAAATAAAATAGGTGTACCTACATAGCGATATACGGTACATTATATACCATTCAAATTTCGTTATTAATAAATATTCAAACCGAGAACAGCACAATATGTGCACAATAAAGTATAAACTAAAATGTACGTGGTACTGTATACGAAGTGACTTGTTCATACACTTTGGCCGTAATTAACTGCGATTTAAAATATATACAGTATGTGCAGGTAGGCAGGTAGGTAGGTATTGTGGTTGCACAACAAGCGCACTTTTGAAGAGTGCAGCATTGTCCGTGGGAAAACAAAAACTCCGGGAAAAACGAACTCACGCACACATAATATAGTACATACATATTTTATAACAGTACGCGTCGGATTCATCGGAGGTGTTTTTCCCCCCCGGTTTCCCCTACCTGCAGTATCCGCGGCGGCGGAGACCAATGCGGCGAACGTCACTGCGGCGTGTCAACCAGGCGACAGTGCCGAATAGTGTCGTCGATGTATACCTACACACACGCTGGACGTGCCGCCACAGCGTTTTGCGACTGCCGATATTCGATAATATTATGTTGCAGTTTATTATAACGATATAGATTTTTTTGATTTTCGTTTGCAGCCGCCGAGTTATATTCGCTTATTTAGTTATCAATTATTCATTGTCATCGTAACATTATTATTATCATTATCACTCGTCTTATATTTTTTTAACGGGTTGCGTTTACACAAGTAGTATCATGGATGACCGTCATGTCTAAAAGAATCGTGTTTGTGTTTTACAGCGGACTCCCACACAAATGACAAGATGAAAAGCAATTGGATCAGGACGGATCGATTGTGGTGCCTGTTCTTGAGTGAGTACCAAACACTTAACTACATATTTTCTTTTATTATCTAATTATTTATTAAATTACATCTTTCATTACCTACCTATGTCTAGGTTAATTCGCTAAACACCCTTTGATTTTAATGTAATAGGATTTTCTCATATGAGCTAAAATTGTGAATACTTACGTTTACATAATTTTCTACATTCTCATGATGGTTATAACTTATGAACAATGCAATTATAACATCGTGTTTAGTAATATTGTATTATATAAAACTGTAATTTATAACAGTTTTGTATTAACTATAGGTACGTCATATTTAGGTAGGTACCTATTTATTTTTGAATTTAAAATTTAAATAATTGGTTTGAACGATTATCAACTAACCGTATGTATAGTGCGTAAATTATAAAAAGCTATATAATCTCTATTAAAAATGATATATACCTACTGTTAAAGTGTTAAAACCTATGTAATAATAATATATTTTATGATACGTTTCAAGCAATATTAATTATTGAAATAACTTACAAATCAATTAAAAATAATCTCATTCGAAGAATAATCAAAACTAATGTATTATAATTTATAACAATATAATATACAATTATTGCGTAAAAGCCAATAGAAGTATAAAAAGTAAAATTTATTTCCAGAGCATTTTAATCATCTCCATAATATACGCCACTGTTGCACCTGTTGAGCCTATCGACATGGGATATTTTAATTTACTTATATATATAGTAATAATTATTACATAATATTATAAAAGACGTTGACAGTTTGATAACTATTTTAGAATGTTTAAAATATATAATTGGTACAATAAATAAACCACAGTTTAATATAAACTAACATATCATTATTAATTTATAGTTACATATGAACACAGTAGAAATTCCTGAATATCCTCTACGGAGGTGTATGTTTTAATTAAACTAAAATATTGTTTAACCATATACAGCTACCAAAATTTGCTTTGTCAGGCTAAATCTTTAACGGTAGTGATCAATCCATTATGACGTTTACTGTGGGCCGTTTCAACTTTCCAAACAGATTAGGATATTGTTGTTTATTTTTTTTTTCTATAAATACCATTTCATTTAGCATATAAAATAAATTACAAATTTACTAATTATTTAAATGTTTAAATTATATTTATAATTGTATAGCCTTTTTTTCAAAAACTGAGGCCTTGAACGCGTTAATACATAATAATTTTTATTTGGTTCTACACACTCCCACTGTAAAATTTCTAGCAAAAATGTAAATAAATACCTAGTAATATCTACTTGGGTTTATCAGAAAATTTAAATATTACATACATTATCTGTATATAGTTGAGCATTAAATAAAATAAAATACAATGAAGTTATATATATTTTATATTTTACGTTTACAATTTACTGATTGATAACATCTTAAATTAACTAGCTAATTACATTCATTATAAATGAGGTTTAAACCCTCAATTCTGTAAAAAATTATATTACATAATTTATTCATAAAATTGGACAATTAATTGATTTCGTGCCTGCATGTTTTACCATGGGTATTTAAAGTGCTTCATTGCCATTAGTTTCTTTCCATAACTATAATTTTAAATAAATCCACAGTCATTATTTAGGTATCTACCATAATTATTAATATTCGATTTAATGATATATCTCTTGTTTTTATGTCATTATTACAAATTGTTTTTGCTTGTCGTTGCAACGATGGTTCACCTACTGTCGTAACTCGTAACTATAGATCATAAAATATTAGCCTTTCTAAATATTTATGTTTGATGGATTTTGTTGAGAAATATCATTATCTGACATCCTCGATGTTCCCTCGATAGACACACATAATATATTAAATATATAGATAGGTACCTTCCTACCTACCTATCAGCTATAGTAATTCTAAGTGACACGATTGTTGCAGCGGTAATGATTATACACTTTAGTTGTGTATAATACAAGAGAAGTATAAATAGAAAAAAGAAAACATTGAAATCAGTCAACGAAATAGTTGTGTTTTGATTCGATTGTAGGGTTGGGCTTGACACTGTAACATAATGGTATAATATAAAAACGTACTACTCAGTTTTTTCCGCTTCTATGCATTGCGATGTTGGCCCGAATGATCTTAATAATATGGTAATTCGCCAAATTCGGACAGCGTCCGGTGTCTGTTTGGCAAACAATTTACGAAAAAAAAAATAATAATAATAATAACGATACAAATGGAATATTATAAATACTATAAGAATAAAAAAAAAAAGAAGAAAATAAATGGGTATAATGATAAAAGGCAGTACAGACACGAACAGAACACGTCGGAAATGCATCCAATTATCGGACACAATAGGAGAATTTTTTAATTTAATTTGTAAAAAGTTGCACAGCGGACGCCATCGCCGACATCAATGTCAAGTCGTCCCGTCTGTCCGTTTAGTCTGCCCGAATAAGCTTTCGAAAAACATAACAAAACACCTAGTGAACGACATTGACCGTTGAAAATAATTACCGTTTTCGCCGTTCGGACCGTTTTTCTCCTTTTCTCTTAATTGCTGTCCACGTGACGGCTTAGAAAAGTTCTTCAATTGGATCATTAGTACCTGATATTTTACATCTAGTGTTCCGATTTCAATGCATTAAAAAATTGTAAACATAAACTTAAAATACTAAATTACAACATACATTACATGTATTTGATACTATCTATTTATACTTACCACCATATGTCCGCAAAACAGGGTACACAGAAAAGGTTAAGCAGTTGCTCATATGCAAAATATGAGAGTTGAAAATTGAAAGTTATAGGAATTTATGATTCAACAGTTTAGTCACATGTCTCGCAAATAGATTTAAAAAAATGTATAGGCCATAGGGTACGGAGTAATATAAGTAATATAAGTACCTAAGTTATAGAGTCTACTCTATTTTTGGGGACACACGGTATATACACATACATAATTATTTCGGTATTATATTAAAGAAACATAAACAGTTTTTAATTGTATATAATTATTTCAACCCATTAATTATTAATTAAAATAACTTTGTTAACAAAGTACTGCAGTAGGTTATAATATTTCGTTTTTCAAATGACAATAATAAATATAATCATGGAATGACCGGTGGTTTTTCTATGACTCCCCGCCATCATCTTTAGATCATATTATTATTAACGTTTTAACGGGAGAGTAAAAAAAAAAAAATATGGTTCACTATAACTTTCACGCAAACAGTATTAATCAATCATTTGTGTATTTTGTCGTGTATATTTTTATTGTGATCAAATTATCCAATCTACTGTAAGACACATTTTCTTTGTTTTATGCAGTTTACATTTTCTAAAATCGAAAAATAAATAACCATCTAGTTATAACTCATAATCGACGCCAACAAATCACACAATCGATTTAAGTGCGGCGTCAAAGTAGAATAATAAGTACGAAAAGAGCACAAATTAAAAGATGAATAATACCTGGAGTACCTATATAGGTACGTGTATTGAGTTATGCGTGATGCGACGGACGATCGTCTGTCAGCAGCGCGGACTCAAGTGTTCGCGACCTTGGCACGGTTGGTTTGTTTATATACAAATCCGATCGCATCCTTTCGATACATTAACTCGCGTAGCAACATGTATACACTCACACACACACGCACATACACTTACATATATATATATATATATATACCTATACACGAACACAGTTGACCGAGTGACATGCATCGTTGACTGGATTTATATGTAGAATAATATATATATAAAATATATTCTCGTGTAAAAATCTGCAGTCGATTACAGTAATTATATTAAAATTTACGTTGCGGAATCGGTCGGTCGTGTGTTAAAAATAGTGTCTATCGTGTTCACCGACCGTCTAGCCATCGGGATTTATCTGGTCCTTAGCATCTTCTTTCCGCCAAGGTCGTCGTTTAATAGCCGTTCGTCACAAACGCACGCACCATTGACTATATAGGTATAATTATTATAATATAGTCGTCGGGCCAATCCGATGCACGCAGTATATATCATGTTATATTCACCTACGCGGCTATATACTATATATTATGTATATAATGTATATGGTAGGTAGAGATGGATTACATCTGGAGTGCCCATACTTATTATACGTGTATATATGTATATATTATAATAATATCATTAACGAGAGTAAACGACGCCTGCTTGATATATTATATTAAACTCCGCTTCCGCAGATCAGTAGGTAGCGGTTTTGACAGAACTTCATGATGTGTGTGTGTGTGTGTGTATGTGTGTGTGTGTGTGGTGGGGGGACAGATTTTTTCATCCTGTTGATCAATATTAGACTATAATATTAGATTAAATGCACTTTAACATGGGTTTAAATTTTGTTGTTTTTTTTTATCTGGGTTTATGTGTTTAAACAACTTAAATACATATTTAGTGTTGAATTGGTTGAGAGCTTCTTCTGATATTGGATTGTAGAGGAAATGGTGTACTGTTTAGTATTTTGGACAGTGAATAATTACTCATTATAGGTACCTATGTGTTAATTTGTAAGGAGGGTTGTTTGGCATGTGTCCCAGGATTGGCATGCTGACGAGGTATGAGTGACTCAAGTTCAAGTGTCCTATTCTTATCTATTTTACGTTTTATTTTTGTTATGTTTTACAACTTTTAGAATATCTATCATTTACTAATATAATAATTGTTATAATAATATATTAACTGTCATAAATTATTTTTTTTTTTTAATATTTACATCGTATAAAAAGGAATTAACCAAGTGCCAAGTGGAGGAGAGGGATTATTGGGTTAATGAATAGGTTTTCTCCCCTATCACCCACCTAAAACTTCCACTTCGCCGGTGTCCAGATACATTATAGTTTTGTCCGATGCAGTGCATATAGACAATATAAGTTTATTATATCAATAGACTATAATTATACACGAATCGTTTTGGAGTGTGTTGGTTGTATCTTCACATATTAAATGAGTGAAAAACTGACAAATGATTTATTTTTTGTGATCCGTGCCGT